CGAAAAAATAGCATTGAAGTTTGATAGATTGTCGAAAGGTCAGGAAATAATCGCCTTGTCTAGTTTTTTAAAAAAGTGAGATGAATTGATGAAAATCTGATTGAAAACCGATTACTCCCAATTATTTTATACAAAAAATTTAAATTTTAAAATTGGTCAAAAGAACTAGTCGTTTTTTTAGATTGTAATTTATAACGAAAAATTTTTGTAAAACTAAGGCAAACGCCAAAAGTCATTTCATTTAGCTTTTTAGCAAATCTGAAATCTTTCTACAAGAAATATGAAAATATTGCAGTATATTTCTATCTCTTTGTCCACAGACTGGATCGTTTCTCAGTTCCCTTTTTCAATCCATTGAATTATTTTACGCATTTTCATACCACCTCTATCATCTTTTATTTTCAATAACTTGTGAATTTTTTATATAAATTACTAACTTACTGTAGGTAAGATAACTGTTAGGCCAAAATATGGAACGTTGCGTTTGATTCGAATGCCGAATTCGATAAGTGACCAGAACCATTCTGGCTGTAATATTCAGTCCAATTTCAAACTTTTACGAAAACTTCATGATCATCTTGATAGTTCTTACTCTACTTAATTGTCATAAATTATACTCGGGTTTTTCATTTTAACGAATCCTACGGTAATGGCTCTATTTGTTTACTGATAAATCGATTCATATCCTTGCAGAATGAAATGGTTTATGAACCAGCAGTTATGAATGTCACAGTATCGTCTTGCCATATTTTAACTTTTGAGATATTTTTATACTTCGATTACTTGCGCAATTTTTGTTATTACTAAAATAGCTTCGATTAATTTTTCGAACAAAAACTTAAGTCGTAAATATTTCATACCTGACTGTCTGGTGGCTCATCTTTACAACCTGATGGACCCCAATAGCATTGACGACGCCACGTGTCTTTTACTTCCCAACAACCTGCATAACACAATTGAAATAAATATTCTAATTTTGATCTTGTAAAAAAACTTACTTTCTACAAATTAAATGAAAGACGTTGATGAAGGAGTTATTTAGGCCATTCAAATTATAAGATCTGAAACTGTTTTCAACCCTTATTATTGAATATTTCATTCCTTCAAATATGTGTACCTGCAACATGACGTTTTGTGTTTGCGCTATCAAGCGGATCATAACTAAGTTTGATCGCCGGTTTGTTCAAACTTCCATTTCCAGACGGATCTGATAAATTCACCTTAGAAAGATCATATATCCAATCAGCGATCACAATAGGACACTCCTATAATCAAAAATAATAAATCAAAACTCTGACGAATCGGAATAACAACAGCTGACAATATATTGATTAAAAATTTAAATCCATTGATTTAATCACTGAAAACAAAAGAAACTGATGGATTCTCTTTTTCAAAGCACAAATACAATATCACTACGGGAGACGCAAAATATGCAATCGAGTGATATATTTAATAAAATTGTGAAAAGATGTTTCTATAATGTACAAAAGCAAAATTATATTTTAAATTTCGAAAATGCTCAAAAATACCTTGGAATGAATAGGTATTAATCAATTGAATTAGACAAGAATTGAAGGAATAAAATTACCTGTTCATCATATGGATAATTAGTAAAATCAAATAAGCATGTTACATGAAAACTAAACGATCCAGAAGCCCAAACTTTACCATCACTGTTTACCGATGCTGGTAAGCCGCCCATATGCAAATACCAGCTGTTTCCCCGTGCGCTGATATGAAAAGAAAATCCATAAATAAATACCGCTGAAGAATAATAATAAATAATATTTTAATAGCTTCGCTAATTTAGAATTTAATGATCGTTTCTGCTTCAAATAATGACGTATTGAATAACAAATTATTTGTTACTACTGTTTTGAAAAAAAGACAAGTTTGGTATTCAAAAAATATAATTTAATATTCAGCACATACTATCAGTACCATTTTTTGAGTGGAACTAAAATTTAGTTTTATTCGTAATATTTTTTTGAATTAAACTTTAAATTACTATAGCTTCTTAAAATTTTAATTAAATGCAAATATCAAAAAATTAAAAATTAAAATTGCCAAATATTTCAAAAAATTTCATTGTTTCGAAAAACCTGAAATTATTAATTACAATAAAAAAAAATGAAAACACGGAGTATTGTGAAACAGTCAAAGTTATCGAAAATTTTGGAATTATCAGTGATTATCAATTAAAATTCAACGTGATATCATTAATTCAGCACATATTGTTGTGATAAAGTGTAGGCGAATTTGACATACGAAAAATAATTGATTGTATTACTTTCTTTAATTAATTCAAATGTGATTTCTTTTTTTGGGTTAAAAACCAATCTAAAACCTATTGTAAAGCGAAAGGGCAGGTTGCCAAATCTTCCAACTTTCAATTGCAATTCGTCTCGTATTGTTATATTTGCTAGGATCCCATTTTAAGTATTCGTCGGTCCATGATGTCCACAATAATCCGTGAAGTAACATCGTTTGTTCATGCTCATCCTGTTTTTTTTTTCTAGTCAATAATATTAATATTTGCAAATAAAAAGCGAAAGTAATAAGGAGTAAAGATTCAATTGAAGGAAAAGAAATTGATGAGCTTTGTATGTAGAAGTA